CCCCCCCCGCTGTTCAAGGTCTGGCGCACAGACTTTCTGTATCCCTCTCCCCGAATCTGCTTCTCAGCCTTCTCTCATGCAGCGGTGCAATGAACTCCAGGTCGAAATCGTCATCCATTATTGTTGTGTTGTGTGGCGTGGATAGAGGGCACGCCAGCTCGAAATAGCACAGCAGCCTTCTCAGCAACAGATACGGCACGATCCAGCTTGAAGATCGAAAAACTCATGACTGTATCGTGGCTGCGGACAGATGATGCGATGTCCTGCTTTATAGAAACCAATTTTTCTATCTGCTTAGCCGCTCTGCTGGTCTTTGTTGTCTGCTCGATTTCACATTGCAGAACCATCTCTGCAAAAGCCAGTTGCTGCAGGGTCACACCAAGGTTTACGCCGTCCCTCCTCATATGGAAAACCTTGGTGAATGTCGTCTTGAAGGCTGGGGCGTCACAAGGATCGTTGTCGCTCCGTCTCCACGTTTTGTTCTCTTTCATCTCTGCTCGCATCTTGTTGCAAGTAGGGAGCTGGTGATCTGTTTGCTGCGATCGTACAAGCATGATCCCTTTTTCAGCCCAGAACCAATGTCTCAGTTACCATGTTATCTCTCCACACACGGTTGTCATCATTCTAATGCACTCACCTATGACTGCTCGAATCTCGCACTCCGCTACGTGTGATTGCAGTCCTTCCTCCGCGTTCTCCCCTATCAGTTTGGCCGTTGTTTGCAGCGCCGTGAAAAATTCATCCTCTGTTGGGTACAGAGTTGCGTCATTTGCTGCAGAGAACGCAAAGGCTTTCGCGACCGCCCGGAACAGTCTGTCCTTCATTTTCTTCGAGAATACGCAGCTTTCTTGATTGGCTTGTTGCTGTCCTCCCCTGCTCGCGCACACTTTTCTTTGCGAGTTCGTGCCATCTGCAGGAAGACACACATTACAACGCACAGAATAATATTAAGAACTCGGCATTTCGCACTCATTTTCGCACCTGCGAAATTCGACAGCCCGTTTCAATTGTTCGTTCATCACAACGACATCCTCGCATTAAGAAAATGTCATCACTTTGCGCCGTTACCACGTAATCGTTGTGCAAGGGGAGCAACTGCAGCACATTCGGTTTACCTTTTTTAACTGCGTTGTCATGCCTCACTAGTTATCTGTCAATGGAGGGTGAGTCGGCTGCGCCTCCCTCGCCGCCACTTTCGGGTTCCCTCGTGCGTCGCGTTCTTCCCGGAGATGGGGAACTTCCTCTTCCGTCCGCGCTTATGTCGTCTTCACCTACCCCGTCACCGCCCTCGTCATGCGTTGTGTCGTCGCTGCTCCTCCCATCCCCGTCATCAGCGTCGTGAGTGTCGCGAGAATGTCCGTCGGAAGTTTCACTTTCACCTCCCTTGTCACTTGTTGCCTCGTTCTCCTCCCCGTTAGACTTTTGTGATATGGACTCGTCGTGTTCGTCTTCTGCTTCCTCTCGGGGTGCGTTGTGGATATCGTCCGAGGCTCTCATATCGATCATCTCCACCATTCTGTCCTCTTTGTACGTGATTCTCTTCTTTGTCCTGCGGTGCACCTTTGACATTCCGTCTTCCCGCGACCTCTTCTCAGGGGCCTTGGGTGGACGGTTCCGTGGGGCAGGAGTCGCAGGGGGTGACTCATTGCGTTCTTTCAGCTTTGAAATCCCCCTCTAACTTGATGGGAGAAAAACTTTTGATCCGTTTCTACGGCCGCTGGTCCGCTCCGTTTTTGCATTCTGGGATCCACTTCTGCGATGCTCTCTCTTTTCTTTTTTTTTATCAGCCTTGTATTTCTTTCTCCCCTTGTCCTTCTTTCCTACGGCCTTCAAGGACCTGCACAGATCCTCGTATTTTGGGTTTGGAGCCATGACCCTTTTTTTCCCCACATACATCAAAGTCGAATACGAACAATAACTGCGTCAGCAATGTCGTACGTCGATCCATACACCCCTGAAGTGTAATGGCCGCATTGGGAGAGAGAGAGAGAGAGAGGCACAACCAAGATCTTATTGTTGATATTGCGACGTCATTTAAGTTACCAACCTCTTTGTGCGTCAGAATGACTGTATCTGTATTGTCAGGCGGCACGGGTTCGCATGGTCACAATAACAAAAAAAAAAAAAAAAAAAAAAATTGGAACATGTCCCCGGCCATCACCGCGAGAAGGTTGGCTACTGCGGGCCAATCAACTGGTCAAGCCACCGGTCTTTATGTAACAAATGCCCCCAGTAGTGAACTTTCCTCGCATCGTCCTTTGATGACCTCAACGCTCAAGCCAACGGTCAATTCGTCCTCATCATTAATGTCAGTCTGCTCTTCTCTCGTTCTCGTCATGTCCCCGACTTTCGCTTTTCCCTTTATGCCGGATGACTCTTCGATTATCAACTGGAGAGACTTTGCTTCACCCTCTGTCATTATATCGTACATTTCCCCGTACCACGGGTCCCTCAACATTTTCTCCCACCTCTTTGCTGACCTCTCACTGGTCAATGGTAACAACGGTTCGCTTGCCACCTCTCTGCGGTATTGTTCGTCTTTATTTTCCATCCTTGGACCGATGACCGGTTCCGTACCCACATATGAGTACTTCGCGCCGCCACCATACGTATTACTTTTCTGTGACTCTGTCATCCTCGCTCGGCTTCTCTTACCTGCACCCTGTTATTCAGTGTTCTTTGTCGCTCCTTCCCGAACGCTGTGCGACGTCGTAAGTTTCTATTCTTGTTCACACGTGTCGGTCAAATGGAATGACACAGACGATTTGTTAAGTTTTTTAACAACTTGAAATCGTTTTTATAGGATACTTCAGAGAGAGAGAGAGAGTGAGAGAGAGTACTGCGTGCCAAAACTGAAACGATGTCAATGTTGACCACGTAAATGTCACGCAGCAGTGAACTTTTTGGGACACTTTCATCTCGCATGTGGTTTTCACCGCTTCATAAGTTTGGCCACATTTGACATGATATTTCTCAACAAATAATGGAAAGAAAGAGACGAATGTCCTCTCTTGTTCCCCTATACTTCG